TTAGTCTGGCTGTTTCTTTGTTTTTATACATTACAGTACAGTAGGGTACTTGTAAAGAATAAAAATGTTTTAAAAAATCATATTTACTGTTATCTTCTCCCCTCTTATTATCAGACCTAAATATGCTGCAGCACTGAGAGCTGGTGAAACTGCTAAAGCTGTGAGCAGACCACTCACCACAGTAATGGCAGCCATAAAGACAAATGAAGGCCAACAAGAAAATGCACACACTCCCACTATGAGGACAGAATAACAGGCTTCTTATTCACCATCAAAATAGTAGCAGCAAAAACTTATTTTAATTTGGTGAAATAAGGGCTTTCTTAAAAGGAGGGGGGGGGGGTGCTTAGAAAATCAGTTTTTAAAGTCCTGTGTGGGTAGCACAACAAATGGCATTCATCACTCTTAAAGAATCCACTTCCCCATTATATCTGTTATTACCGGCATTTTTCATTTCCACACACTTAGCTCTAAAATACTTTTCTATAGTTAGGAAGAAGCTTGAGTTGCTAACTCAAGAAAATGTGTACACTAATGATTATGAATGAAACAGAGATGCTGTGAAAGACATTTCATAAAGGCCTTTGAAACCGGTCTCTGAATTCTGATCCAGCGCACTTAATCTGCAACCTTCAGAGCAAGCACAAAAGCTCTGGAGATTATCTTCTAGACAGTTTTCTGCAGACACACTAAGACCATGAGTGTTATTAAAATGAAAAAAAAGAAATTTATTATGATTTTTATAGCAGAAATGCAACTCAAATTGTTTGTCAAAAGGGGGGAAAAGGTACACACTGCTAGTGCCGCACAAGCTTCTATAAACTGAATGAAGGTTGGTTGTTTGGGGTCATTTTTTTAGGAGTCAAAACAAACATCTCAGGGGCATTAAATGTGCATCTGACTGTACATGTTTAGCTGGTAAATCAAGTGAGCAAATGAGCAACAATGCCAGTTTTACTGCTTCAAAGTGCCATTAGATTAAATGTTTCATGCGCGTCCCCGCCTATAGATGTTCATCATTCATATTTTGCTCTGTGCGTTTAGCCTTGTGTATGTACATATTTTCATATTAATTTTTTTACACACAGTTGAGTGCATTAATGATCCCTGATGGGTTTAGCAGGGATTAGATGATCCCCTGAGCGAAGAGAGGATTATCAAAGTCCATTGGCCCCAATAGTGATAAAGGAGGTAGCCCATTACAGTACCAATAAGTCCATTTGTCTTTTGTCTGCACAGCAGGGAAACTGCAGCCTGGGAAGGCACAAGCCTAGCTGCCCTCTGCAACAACTCGCAGTGTTGGATTAATCATATCAACTTCACATGAGCTGACTGGTGCTTCACAAGCAGCTCTTGTGCACCTTTTCTTTCATGTAGATGTTTCTTATCTCTGTGAGGAAGTGCCTCATGTAAAATTGTCTTAACCACCAAATGAATTACCTTCAGCAGTGACGTGAGATGTCCCTGAAATAGAAAGTTATGATGAAGCTTGCTAGGGAAAGGGAAGCAACCTAACCTGTTTGAAAGGTTTTAGTAAAGTTGTTTGTGGCAGTGAAGAAAGTATTTTCCAAATTTAATGTAAAAAAGAAGTGCAAATAAGAATAAACCAAAGGAAGCAGGCTACGCTGGAAAACAAGGGTCAAAGGATGCTACTTAAAGAATAAAAATAATTATAACCAAAAGAGGACTCCTAACTCAGTCATATTGCTAAAGTAAATGAACTCTTTG